ACAGGAGCCGACAGGGTGGAGGGAAGAAGGAAATGCCCTTTCTGGTTGCGGGGAGGGGGTCAGCGGGGCAAATGCTGCAGCCCTGGGGAGCAGGGGTCTGCCTCGCTCCCTGAGCGGCTCTGGCCAATTTATCAGGCAGTTCCCCATGGAAATCCCTTCTCCCGTGGCAGCTCCGCCGGTGACTCGGGGACTTCATGGCCATTGTGTGGCAGCCAGTTCCCCAGCTGCCCGGCACCGGTGAGTTCAGCTGAAAATCCAAAATCTGGGAGAGGAAGAAGAGATTTCAAGAGAGGAGCAACCATGACCCTCTTGCTACACAGGATTAAACCCAAGGGCCCGGCCAGGGTCCCCTCCCTCAAGCACAGCACTTACCGCTGAGCCAGGACAGAGGGATGCGCGTTGCTGGTTTTGGCATGAGGCTGAAGCTGCACAAGAAGCCCAACACCCAGCACCCCTCGGCAGCGCCACGCACGAGACATTGGTGCGTGCTGCAGCCGATTGCGAGCTGCCAGGGCTCATGCCACAGCAGGTCCAGCCAGGTCCACTCGTCCAACCCTCTACCTCTCTTTTCCCAGTCAGAGCTGGGACAGGCATCCAAACCCACATCGTTAAGGCAGAAAGCGAGAAACACTCATAATCTCGAAAGCAGAGCGGGCGCCACTGAGACTGTGGCACCCATCACAGGCAGGGACAAGGCACCCTGTTGCACACAAGCTGTCATCGCTATGAAAGCTTCTTAAAAATGCACCCGGAAAGACATTTTACTGCACCTCCTGTCTCATTTTAAAAGGAACCCAACCCCGCAAATTTAATTCTGTGTTTAAATATCTGATTTAGGGCAAGGAAACAGCATCGGCCTCCCTGAGCCCTGTGCTCGCCCCGCTCGGCCTCGGCATGGGGGTTTCGCACCAACCTTCCTCCAGATGCAGCACGAGGAAGCGGTCCTGCCCCGGCTCCACCACGTGCGCATGGATATGCTTCAGGGGATGGAGAGCAGCTCCCACCTCCCCGGCTGGGCAGAGCCCGAAGGTCTCGAGATAGCTTTCATCCCAGCTGGTGCGTTGTCTCAACACCTTGATGAAGGTGCTTTCATAGTGGGTGAGAACACCCACGACTTCCAGGTGCCTCGGGGTCAGCCCGTCCTGGTCCATTTGCACCCTGCACACTGGCCCTTCCAGCCCCCCCAGTGGCCACGGGTGCAGGAGGGGGCCGGCCCAGCCGATGCCCCCATCCTCAGCCATCCCCTGGAGGCATCTTGCTCCTGGGTCAGGCTTAGAAAAGAGGCGAACCGCAGCAGTCATCCTTGATCTTGCCGCCGAGCTGGGTC